TTGTTGGTTTTCTTGAGCACCTGCTATTTACAAAGCACTGTGTTTAGGCCAAGAAAAGCACACAGGAAGTAAATGCATAGTCTCCGTTCTCCGGGAATTTACCATCTAGATAAGTGCTTTTTCTGACTGCTTTTGCAAAAAAAACACAAATCAGAGGAAGGTGGGACGATTCTGGAAGAAGCCAGGGTAGGAAGCCTGAAGCCATAAAACTCAGCCTCCCTTCACCCGCTGTAAAGGTCCCTGCAGCTCCAGGAAGCACAATTTTGAGAGTTAAGAGACACACCTACAAGAAGCCAAATCAGACAGTGAATATGCAATTGCTTGGTGTAAACTGGAAGGCACCAGACTTAACTATGGTTGTCGTTACATAGTATATGAAGTGCTCTCAATGTCTTAAAGTCAACTGAGCACTTACAAAATTACCATAAGGACTGCTGTGATGACAAAGGAAAATGCCAGAGGAGCAAGTCAAGAAGAGACACAGAGACACAGAAAAAGAGTAGAGGAGAATATAACACAAACGAAATTTATATCTAAAGATGGCAGATATGCACAACTCTCTAGAATAACGCCGCATAAGAGAAAATAACAGTAAGTATTTCGAAGGCCCTCTAAGCTGAGCCCGGTGCTCATGCTTACAGCAACCTTGCGAAATGCTATTATTCCCCATCTTACAGAGGAAGAAGAAGAGGCTTAAGAAGTTTTGGAGTGTGTCTAAAGTTATATACTAAATTAGAGACAGGACTTAAATTCTAGGGTATCTGAGGTCAAAGCGTGGACAGGCGACAAATTTCAAAACCTTTTGTTTATGACAAGACACTTAGCTCAAAGTCTTTGTCTCAAGGTGCCTACAATGTGAAATAGTCATGCGTTCTGGTTTGTCAGCAACAATCCCAGCTTCCAACTGTTCCCAGTGTAATTATTAATAGCACTCCCTTTCACTCTCAGAAGTGTCCCAGTTTAGATAATGAATTATATGGTCATCCTGCCTCACTGCCACTGACCCACAGTGAAACTTGTCTACACAATTTTCCAGGCCCAGTGCAAAATAAAAATGTGAAAACCCTTGTTCAAAAAGCAGGAAAAGGGTGCTATCAAAGGTACTGAAATATAAAGCTTCTTCCTTTCATGTATCTGTTCTGTTCATGCTTCACTGTCCCAGCAGACTTCACTTGCAAAACACGAGTTCAAAGAAAATTAGTCAGAATTTTAAGTCGGTGATAGCAGAGCATTTAACCAAGCATGGGGTCCTCCTGAGCTCAAAGCCCTGTGCCACCGTGCAGGATGCACACCCGTGAAGCTGGCTCTGGGTCTGCCCTTTCTCCATCCATTCTAATAGGTCTGTGATCTTGGCATGCTGTGTCACTGAGTTGCAAACAGGAAACAGGTTGCAACCTACCATTGTCCAGACTGTGGACATTAAATACTGATACCAGGTTTATAAAATCATTTCTTTAAAAGAAATGTTTTAGAGTATTTATAATAAACCACAAAATTTCATTTCCAAAACAACACAAGAACATAAATTCAAGCAAATCACATCATTCTCTACCATTTTTCTGTGACCTAAAAACAATTAATCTAAATAATGTAACCTATCCATGATCTCAGATGAAAATTAAGAATACATGAGATGAAATAATAGTGCGTTGCAAAGTCTTTTAATACCTCAATGTCTGAATTAAGTCATATTTCTATTTTAAAGGCATGTTGTACATGTTTAATTTGAAACTTATTTTTGCATAAATTCATATGTGCCTGAGTGAAACTTAGAAACTTCCTCTATCTATTCAGACTAAACGGAAGAAAAAGGAAATTAGCATTTTACGGATGACTGAGGAAATGTCCTTAAAAATGGGGTGGGGAGATAGAGGATGGGTCAATTCATTATTCATTTATTCATTCAATAAGCATTTATTGAGTACCCTACAATGTCACAAGTACTGCACAAAATTCTGTGGAGGCACAGGCAAGCAAGCCATGTGCCTGTCCTCAGGAGCTTCCTATCTAGCAGAATGAGACAAAGGTAAACAAACAAATGCCTCAGCTACTTTAAGTACTACGGAAGAAGTAAACATGTGGTAGAATGGGTACACAGCAAGGGTTGGAGGGGTGTAAACTAAGCCTTGAAAGCCCAACAGGTATAGAAGGAAGGCCCTGGAAGAACAAGGCAGAGGCCTGAGAAAGCATGGCACACGGGGGCAGAACAAACTTAAAGCACAGAGCCTTACTCAACAAGAAGTGTGTGGCTGGGTGGCAGCTAGAGAGAAGATGCTTAGATCGATGCTTTAGTGCAGAGGGAAAAAAGCAATGCTCATGGATTGTCCTGGGGCTGGGGTGGGGGAAGGCTCTCTTTCCTTAAAAGGCCAAAAGGTTGGAATTGAGGAGAGAAAGGATTCAGAAGTAGAAAAGATCTTAGTAAGAAAAGTTTTCCCCTCCGGTCACATTATCTTTTAATCAAGGAAAATAATACCATTTTGTTTGCTTATTTGTGGGCCTGTAAGTAAAAATATGTTCTTGGTAGACCTAAAAATATGTTCTCTATCTCTTCCTCTTCCTAATAAAGATAAGAGTCATCCTTCATCCATGTTAATGGCTTAAAGCAATGACAGAAATGACTAATGACTCAGCTAAAAAATACTTAAATCTGACTTAGAAATGAACTAATCAATTTTTTGCAAGAAATCTACCATTCAATTTAATACTATGGCTAATTTTTTTAAAATAACTTTTATTGTTTGTCTCCATTTCTGATCATTCTTTCAGGATAGGTTCCTAGAAGAGGAATTATCAGGCCAAAGGTTTTGAATATTTTTAAAGCTCTTGGTACATATTAGCATAGTCTAATATTAAAACTAAATTGACTACATCAACTGCAAGTGACCAGGAAAACTACATGGGGATTCAATGTTGCTATAAATAATGCCCCAAAATGAAAATCTAATACTGCATTACAAATAGATCTAAGGCTTTGAGTGATTATGAGAACATAAAGAAGCCAGAATAAACTTTTGTTTAGGATGACATTCAGGCGAGTTAGTGCATTTGTGTGTATAAACATAGAAAAGCACAAATAATGGACAAAGAAAAGGAAAAGTGTTAGAAGTTCATAATTTCCAAGTGAGATAAGAAGAATGAAATCATAATGTTCTATTTGTAAAAAAGAAAAATATGATTTATTTTACACCTCCCATACTTTCTTACCTAACTCTGTATAGTAATAATAAGTTTTAAAAAGCAATTATCAAGTGTTAAGATTAGAGGAAAAACATATTTTGAATAAAAAGTAGATTAAGTTAGCTGTCTTTCTGCAAATTAGCATTCTTCACAGTACTTTTCTCATATACCTTCAGAAAGGAGTAACTCCTTATAAGGAATTACTCAGGTTCTTCAAAAGTCCAAGTATTTTGTCACCAAAAAGTTTAATTAAAGCCACATTTAGGGCCAGCTCACTTGGGAGAGTGTGGTGCTGATAACACCAAGGCCATGGGTTGGGATCCCTATATAGGGATGGCTGGTTAGCTCACTTTGGAGAGCGTGGTGCTAACAACACCAAGTCAGGGTTAAGATCCCCTTACTGGTCATCTTTTTGAAGAAGAAGAAAAAAAAAAAAAAGCCAAATTTGAAGGTATGAAAAGTCAAATCTCCTGAAAAACATGCTTTATCAACACTCACTGCTGCATGGATATGTATGATAATTCTATATATCACCAAGTACCAGGATATTCTCAAATATGTGTACATTTCCAAAGAATGTGGCCCTGGGAGCTCAATTATATTGATTCTGAGAAGCCAACCAGAAGCCAACTGTGCATTTTACATCACTAGAGACATTGTGCTTTCCTTCATGCCACAGCCAAGAAGCGAATTTCTTCTATCATGATTATAAGCAGAAAGTTTACAGATTTCATAAAACCGAGCAGGAACTTTGTGGCATTTGACACATTTTCCTTCAGACTGGTGGTGCATGGAACCAGGTAGTGCAAGGAGATGAAGGCTGGACGATCTGAGCAAGATGTCATAGGCTAAAGCTCCTCCGTCTTTGAACGATGCTCTCCCAGACATCTGGTGAAAAGGAGCCAATCCTCAAATTCTGTCTTTTCAGCAGTGACTAGGTAAAATCCAACTTTTGAATCATGTCTCAGAAGCTACTTTCACTCAATTTTGCCCCTCCTGCCCTAAAATGAATGAAACGTTTTTCAAAGTTGACTTCAGTGAGTCAAGCTCAAACTTAGAAACAAAGTTGGTGCCCAGTTCCACGAAATCCTTAAGCTGCTAGACACGAATTTTATTACTCAACTCTCATGGGCTCAGTGTGAAAAGGGGACCGGGACTGAGCAGAGGCCAGATTTGAACTGGGAGGGGGGGGGGGGGGGGGGGGGGCGGTGTAGGAGCCGGACGGGGTGAGCGCCACATGTGGCTTTAATACCCACAGCTGCTGGAGATCATAACCCTGAGGCTCCTCCTGTCCCTCTGCCCAGCAGAACCCAATGTTCCAAAGATTATTATAACGAAAGGGACTTCACTGCCGCGATGTCTAAATGACTAACTCCAGCTCCGGCAGATTCAAGGGTTTGTTTTTGTTTGTTGTTTGTTGTTTAAATAATACACGTACCTGAATGAATCACCAAGCTAAAGCCTTAATACAAAATCTCCAGTGGAGGAAGAGAAGGAAAAAAATAAAAATACACGATGCAATTGAGCAGACCGGGAAGGGGGCTGGGCGGGTGCGGAAGGATGGGGCAGCCGGGATTCCCGGACAGGCTCTTTCTCCCCTTGGAGCTAACTTTTCGGACCCAGAGCTCTCCAGGGCCCTGGTCCCTCGGCGCCTCTCTAGCCATTAACAAAGCCCCGCGGGGGTCGCCGCGCCCGCGAACACAGCGGCCCGGCTCCGATTCGGGTGCCCGCGATGCCCCCGGCACCCGCGCAGACAATGCGGCTCGCGCATCCCGCGACTTCTCCCGGACCCGCGTCCCGCGCCGCCGCGCGGGGACACTCACCGACACCAGGAACTCCAGCGTGCCCACATAGTCCCGCTCGGTCTTCTGGAGCTCGCTGAGCACGCACACACGCAGGCGAAGCTGTTTCTCCAGGTCCTTGGCGCTCTCGGCGCGCCCGTCCCCGCGGCTGTCCTCGCTCATGGTGGCCGGCGGGACGCGCGCTGTCCCGCGCAACGCTGCTGCCTGGCCCCGGCGGCGAGAAAGGAAACTTGCCGCCTGCGCACGGTCCGAGGGGAGACGCGGCGACTTTACATGCTGCGGCCGAGGCTGGGGCGGGGGGACAGGAGGGGGCTCGGGCTGGAGCTCCGGCGCGGGAGGCGCGGCGCTCTGCGGAGGAAACTCCCGGGAGAGGGGGCTCCGACCCCCGCCCGGCGCGTCCGGCCCCGCGCTCCGGCCTCACGCGGCCCCGGCTGGACGGGAGGCGGCTCCGGCAGCCACAGCGGTGACTTGGACATTAATCAAATGCTTTGTATCCATGTGACTCCGACCCTTTACCCTTCGCCAAATCTCAGGAAAAAGGAAACACAACCCTGGGGAAGTGTTGCCTGCCAGCTAACTAAACACACACACACACAAACTCAACACACACACACACTCAGCCCTGGGGAAGTGTTGCCTGCCAGCTAAGTAAACACACACACAACACACACACAACACACACACACAGCCCTGGGGAAGTGTTGCCTGCCAGCTAACTAAACACACACACAACACACACACACACACAACACACACACACACTCAGCCCTGGGGAAGTGTTGCCTGCCAGCTAAGTAAACACACACACAACACACACACACACTCAGCCCTGGGGAAGTGTTGCCTGCCAGCTAACTAAACACACACACAACACACACACACACACACACACAACACACACACACACTCAGCCCTGGGGAAGTGTTGCCTGCCAACTAACTAAACACACACACAACACACACACACACTCAGCCCTGGGGAAGTGTTGCCTGCCAGCTAACTAAACACACAC